TTGTAAAGCCCTTTAGGACCTAAAAAGATCTAATGCGGTAACTCAGCGTATTTTCATTTATACATAAAGGGTGTGCCTCACCATCTTAATCAAATTACAGGACTTCTAAGAAGTTTAAGGGTGTGGTGCATGACAAGACCAAGGTAGAAAAGGGTTTATAGGGAAGACATTTATGAGTGTTGCTTTAATGATGTGAACTGGAATAAAATTCACAGGAGACCCACAAAGTTTATAAGAGAATTCTATTAGCAGAATATACTTTTTAAGAGACTTTTAAAACAAAATTATATTTAGCAGGCTGTTGGCCAGACCGGACTGGAAAGGACAGAAAACCAAATGAAAACAGGCTTTGGACATCCACGCTGCTACAGGCAGAGAACTACATAGCTAAAAACATGGAGAAGCAAGGACAATTCAGTGGGTGGATCCAAGAGACTGGAAAGCAGAGTTAGGAGCCCTGGAGAATCACTCTTAGGCAAATACTGCGTGTCTTTAGTTTATAGGTCCTCTTCTTAAGAGGAATTCTATTCAAGGAGCTGCACCTAAGGCAGTACACCTGAAAAGCTTCATTCACATCTGGACTCAATTTCAAGTTCTAGACTTTTAGCTAATGTTGTAATGGGATGACTGTTTTGGAGAAGTTTGGGAGAGAATAAGTGTGTTTTGCATATGAGAAGAATATGAATCTTTGAAGGCCAAATTGTAGTAGCCAGCCTCCTGGTATTTGTGCTTTGCTATTCCCTGCCACACTGTATCAGGGATCATCTGTGGGACTAATAGGATACAGAAGTAATGATATATCAGTTTGAGTGATTTTGACTTCTCTCTCTTGGATCACTTGCTCTGGGGAAAGCCAGGTGCCATTTTGTAAAGAAACCAGGGAAGTCCTGTGAGTGACTCATCTTGGAACTGGATCTTTTATCACCTTCATTAGACTGCAACCCAGCCAACAGCTTGACTGCAAACTCATAAGACCCTGGGCCAGAACACCTAGCTGAGCCACTCGTGGATTCCTGACTCTCAGAAACTGTGAGGTAAATATTTTTAGTGTTAATGTATTATACAGCAATAGTTAACTAATATAAGTTCACACATTACTTTATGCCTTCTAAGTAAATCTCTTTTTAAAAAATATATTTTAATTGATTTCAGAGAGGAAGGGAGAGGGGGAGAGAGAAAGACAGATCAATAATGAGAATCATTGATTGGCTGCCTCCTGCACGGCCCTCCCCTCCCCCCACTCCACTGCCCCCCCCACCCCACCCCGACACACACACTGGGGATTGAGCCCTGATCGAAATCAAACCTTGGCTCTCAGGTTTATAGGTAGATGCTCAACCACTGAGCCATGTCAGTCAGGTTTAATTAAGTAAGCCTCTTTTAATCTACAATTTTCTCTGTCTTCTTTCCTGCAACCTATTGGTTGAAGTTAACTTGTCCCATGATTTTCTATAGATTGAATTTTACTGATTGTTTAGCCATACTGTTTAACATGTTCTCTATATTTCCTAGTATTGGGTTCAATTTTTTTGGCAAGATTTTTAAATAGGAGATGGTATGTTTTTTCATTAAAAGGCATATAGTTTCGGGGAGGTGGGAGGTTAGAGAGCAACCAAAGGACTTGCATGCATGCATATTAGCATAACCAATGAACCCAGACACTGGGGTGATGGGGGCTTGCGGGGGTGGGGGTGGGGTGAGGGGTGGGAGGAGTCAATTGGGGAAAAAGGAGACATGTGTAAAACTTTAGACAAAAAAAAAGGCATATACTTTCCTTGTTTGTCATGTTAATGTAAAATGAATAAATCCATTTATCCCTCTTGAATCTCAAAATGGCATTGTATAATTTGTGTAAATTGCAGGAGTTATTACATCAATTAATCAGATAGATGGTATAGTCCTAGATAAAACTATGGTAATATGTAAAACAGGGAAGGTTTAGAGCAGTGGTTCTCAACCTTCTTAATGCCTCGACCCTTTAATACAGTTCCTCATGTTGTGGTGACCCCCATCCATAAAATTATTTTCGTTGCTACTTCATAAGTGTAATTTTGCTACTGTTATGAATCGTAACGTAAATATCTGATATGCAGGATGTATTTTCATTGTTACAAATTGAACATAATTAAAGCATAGTGATTAATCCCAAAAACAATATGTAATTATATATGTGTTTTTCCGATGGTCTTAGGTGACCCCTGTGAAAGGGTCGTTCGATCCCCAAAGGGGTCGCGACCCACAGGTTGAGATACGCTGGTTTAGAAGAAGGCTATGCTACTGAATTATTAAAGGATTGCAATATGCTTCTGAAGAACATGTTAGCTTGTCCCAAATTAGGAATATGAGAGTAATAGAGATGTATGTTACGAGGCATAATTTTTTTTAAAAAAAGCTCCTTTAACCATTCTTAAGTAAAAGAAAAGAAAAATTTTAAAAATTGCCCCCTTATAAAATGGTAATTCCAGAAGTGGTAATTGATATATTTTGGTTACTTCCTTTTTTACACTTTATTCCATGCTTAGGATTATTTTTCACATCAAAGCAATCATACTGGTCACAATTTTGCATCCTACTCTTTTAATTTAGAAAATAAACATTTCCATTAGAAAGACTAGTCTACTGGCTTTAAAAAAAAAACATGCAAAAACTATAGTATATTTCACTAGATATAAATAATAGAATTTGGCCAATCTCTAATTGTTCTTAAATTCTTACCTAATTATTGCTACAACTCACATTTTTGTCCATAGTATTTATTTAAATGGTATTTTTAAGGGGGAGAGATGGACAATATAACAAGAAGTTTCCAGCTTATCAGAGGTTTATGTCTAATTAGGAAAATATACATGGCAGGGGGATTACAAAAGTGCTGTATAAGAAAGCATATAATAATCATATATATTAAGGTAAGAAGAAGTAGTGGAATTTCTTAGAAGGAGGGGCTCATCAGAAAAACATTTTGCCAAGATTATTGAGCAAGACTTGGGAAAGTGATAAGTCTTAATGGTTGAAAATGTTCAGGTAAGTGTGGGTGTTCAGGTCGGTTTGGGTGTTGGAGGAGGAGGTAACTTTCTGTTGACGTTCTTAAGAAGCATTTGAGAATAGTTCTCACTCAGGAAGCCCTCATCTCAAAGGCATAATAGTAAGCAAACAAGACTTTTATCAAAGATTGGACTCCTAACGCCCCTGCCCCAATCTACCAAATTTCTTTTTAATCTCGATCATCCACATCTTTTTCCCCTTTCATAATTCTCCTTTCTTTATATCTTTGTCAAAGATTCTCATCTACTTTAAGTAGTGGAAATAGGTTAAACCCTCCTACAAGGCACGTAACCCATACAAAACATTATGGTCTGTAGAATATTTTTTAAAACTGGGAAATGCTATCTTAGAACATACAATGTATGCATTCTAATCTTTAAAAAATAGAAATAAGAGCATTAAAGAATATTAACCAAGGGTTATCAACTTGCCATACACCAAGTCAGAAACATAAAAACCCCTAATCTATTAAAAATAGTAAGAAAATAACAAATAATGACTGTGATTGATATACTCTAGCAGGAATGGATCCCATCCTGATAATAATTCCAATCTTACTGTCACATAGGACATGCTTTGTGAACCTCAATGAGGCTGCCAGGTTTAGGACAGTTGTAAGAACCAGTGTCGGAAATGAAAGAGTAAGGCCTCACAAAATGTGTCATCACTGACCGTCTGACAGCCATTTTCCTTCTGCACCTTTTCTTCCTCGGGGATTGGAGCTGCTTCCCACAGACTCACAGGAGAGGACCCCAATCTGTCCACCACACTCACCACGTGCGGATGCCCTGGGGCTTGCCTATTTACAACTTTGCCCCTCCACAGCATGGCGGGACTCTCAGGGGAGTTCTGGATTCCTCCACAGCAAGAAGTTTCACAAACAATTTTTGCAGCTCCCTGCCCCCAACTGTTTCCAAGGTTAGTACTTAAAAAACCCAAATAACCCCTCATGAAATTCAGCTCAAGGTTTGAAGACTTCCTAGCTTGTCCTATGGACCTCAACACTAAGAACCACAAATTGAAAATTTAATAGGTCATTTTGTATCAAAAGGTCAATTATGAAGCACCTAGAATTTTTCAATTAAAAGAATATATTCTCTGGGTTCTGCTACAGCTCAGACAGTGTTAACTTTTTTTTTTTTTCCTGTTGTGGGTTTTGATCTTTCCCCAGAAATTGGTTTTATTTGATGTATCCAAGTCTTTAAGTTTCTCAATAAAGAAAAAACTCCATAAAACTGCCAAAAAAAAAAAAAGATTCCTGTTATGCTATTTCTCCACCCACAGAACATAACCCACCAGTGGCCGGCAAACTGCGGTTCTTGAGCCACATGCGGCTCTTTGGCCCCTTGAGTGTGGCTCTTCCTAAGCCTTAGGAGTACCCTAATTAAGTTAATAACAATGTACCTACCTACATAGTTTAAGTTTTAAAAATTTGGCTCTCAAAAGAAATTTCAATTGTTGTACTGTTGATATTTGGCTCTGTTGACTAATGAGTTTGCCGACCACTGCCCTAACCCAACCCCTACACTCATCGGTAGCCCCCTTTCTAGTATAAAGCAACATCCTGTGCATGCTTCTTTTGGGTGGCTCAGATCTGACTCCAAGGGTCTTTCCACCATTTACTTAAAGCTTGGATATCATGCTTTCCAAGCAGTTTGATGAGGGTGAAATACAACATCTATAGCCACCTCTGCCTCCCCAACCTCCTTAACTTCTGCAGCTTCCTGGTCTCCCTCAATCCCAGCTGTGTGACAAAACTAGGCCTTCTGTAGATGACACGGCAGGTAGTGGTGACTTAAGCGAACATCTCCAAGTTGTGAGATTAAACTTCCGGAAGGAAGGTCCTCTGTACATGCGTTTCCAGCCTGCCTCCAATGCTGTCTCATTAGAGCCAAAGGAAAAGACGGGGAGAGTTGATGGGTACAGATTTGGGGGAGAGAAAAAGCACACACACAAAATTAAGAGGTATATAGGAGTTTTTACTTTCTTTGAACTGATGATATATATTTAAACTAAAAGGAAACCGTTCATATTGTAATGTATTAAACAGGCAGAATGCTCTTCCTGGTTTCTCTGCTGTGGGTAGATGTTCTCTGGCTTCAGCTGGTACCTCTGGAGAGCGAGGCAGCTTCTCAGCTCGGATTCCACCGCCCTGAGAAAGGTAGAGCTGGAGGACCACGCCTGCAGGGAGCGAAGGGGAAAGACACAGGTCTCCTACGATCCGTTAAAGTCTGCAAAAAGAGCCAGCGCCAGCCGAAAGCCTGAAGGTCAAGAGAAGGGGCGTGGCTGCGCGGAGGCGATGGCGGCGTGGTCTCAGCCCGAGCACCGCCCGAGGTCTCATCCCTCACTCCCCCGCCGGGTCTGGGGTCGGCCCCCACCCCTTTCACCAACCTGCGCCTCCATCCCCTCCCAGAGGATGCGCTCCTGCCCAAACCACCCGACCCACCTCGGATGCTCGCAGCGCCACAATGGGGAGCCGCCCGCCCACCCACCTACCTGCTCCACCCACCTACCTGCTCTGCGCCTGCGCCTCCTCCGCCGCCCCGCCCCCCTCCCCCCGCGCTCTCAAGGTCAGCCCCGCCCCCGCCTCTACCCTAGCGCCTCGGAAGAGGCTGTGGAGGACGTCTTGCGTTTCCTCACCTCTGCGTGGCGTGGGGTCGACGCCGCTCAGGGGAGGGGCGGGACTTCCTGTCCCGCGCGGGCAGGACTTCCGGAAGAGCCGGAAGACCCTCTGCCTCGTAGAGTCGAGAGGTTCCCGGCTGCAGGAGAGGGAGGCGAGGTCCTGGACGGTCGGGGGGACTCCAGGGCCGGTCCCTGAGCTTGGCGTCATGGTGAGTCCTTCTGGGAGGGGAGGGCCCGGAGGTCAGTCCTGGGAAGGGAGCCGGTCGAGTGCCCCGCGGAGGATGGAGCGGGCGGGAGCCATGGGATGAACCGCCGGGCAGGACCCACCTCCCTTGCAGCGCCGGAGCTCCCGGGCCCCGAGAAAACCCCTTCTGCCCTGCCTCGCCGCGAGTTCTGCCCAGGAGTACGGAGCCGCAGCCCGAGTGGTCGTGGCCCATTCACAGTGTACGGCGCGTGGTCCCAGAGTTGACCTTGCCGGGTTGGTGGTTTCAGGTGGTCCCAGCATTGACCTTGCCTGGCTGGTCACCTCCGCCTCTCCTTAGCTGCAGGGCCGTGGCCAGCACTTCACATCTTAGAAATGCCTTGAGCATCGTGTCAGGCGGACACTGCGGATCCCCATGTAGAGGATGAGCGCCTGTCACTTAAAGGAACGGCAAGGTCAGCTCTTACCTTTCCCACGCAGCCCTTTTGGAATTGGAAAACGGGCCAAATTAAAAAAAAATCCGGATTAGTAAGGAAAGACTGAACTCGAAAGGAATATTGCAAGGGTGTGGGGGAAGGGCCTATTACAGCAGGGAGAATGCCTTGACCATAGGTCTGCAGGAGTTTCAAAAGTTAGGCAAAAGGGGGTTTTCTTTTATAGAGGGGAGGAAACAAGTGAAAAGAACCGGGTGTGCAGAAGTGAGATGAAAGGGTATATGGCCTGATGGTAGATCAGAGATTGTTTTACCCTCAAACCAGCCTACCTGTAAAGGAGTTATGGGGTTGTATACTGTTTCAGTTTGAGGGTGGGCCAAAGTTCAGGGAACTGAGGGAAGGATCTTAAGCAGAATTTGGGTAACATTTTATTCCAATTGATCTACAGGGGCAAGCAGTTCAGCTAGTCATTTATGAAGCAAAGAATGTGAATTTGCAGGTTTATGTCTGGCCTTGTCATATGTAAACAAGGGGGTCTTCTGTGGGCTTTACCCAAGTCATTTGGGGACTAGTGGTTCTTTGCAGTAAGTCATTTCCAGAATACAAAGGGGTGGGGTGGGAGTGGGTGAATGTCTTAACCTTCGCTGTTTTCCAAGATCACAGGGGTCCAGTAAAATTCAGCATTGTCAGTTTCTTGACTATATAAAAGATTTCAAATCCTCCTCTGGAAGGGATTCTTTCTTGGAATTTAGTTTCAGTTTGCCATGCCTAAATATTGACATTGTTCAGCTATTGTGTATGATGATTGACTTTTGAATGACTTTTAGAGACTTAACTGAATGTGAAACAAAAGAAACTCCAAATAATGTGGTTCCTAGCACACTCTACTATGCTATGACTAGTAACTTCTGACTTTTTTGGGCAGTGTGTGTGTGTTGACCTCAATGAATAATGCAGTATTATTTTTTTCTTTAGTATCAATGAAATTAGTGAAAGGGAACAGTTGAACTGGAAGGAGCCAAAGATAATAATTACTCCCCCCCCCCCCACCACCAATTTTACAGAAGGAAGAATCTGAGGTTTAGAAATAGACAACGATTTACCTAAACTAACAGTAGTTGGCATAGTCTGTATTAAAATTCAGATCATTTCTTAAATTTAAGCTCTTTTTGACTCCTTGGTCTTAAAAGTTAATATAGAGTGTAATGAAATCCTTGAATTCATAATAATCACAGAGAAGCTGAACGTGAACTTATTCTCAGTATTCTGTGATGCTAAAAACGGTAGCTTTGTTTTAAGCTAAGGTAAACAAACTCATGCTGTTTTTCAAAATGTAACTTTGGAGAATGTCACCTGGAGAATGTCACCAGCAGCCAAGTAGGTGACTTTCTCCATTCAGGTATTGCTTATATTTCTAAAGGTACTTAACTCCACTGAAGCTTTCCCAGATATGAAGTTGATAATGTCTGTATGTGTCCTTGTGGTCAGTGCTTGGAATCCTTCATAAGAAAGGATTTAGCCACTGAAGGAAGTTGACAAGGGTTGAATTTATTTAGGATTCAGCTTGGTTGAATTGAAAACTTTTGCAGTGATTGAAATGATATGAAAACGATGAGGTACTTGAATTCAGAAGACCCAGATTCTGCCCATCATTAGTTATATGAATTTGGCAAAATTACCCAACTTAGATAAGAGTTCCATTTTCCTCTTAGATAAGAGAAATGGGTCCTGATAGGAATTAGAACACCTAACTCAATTTATGATTCTTTGACTTCACTCAGGACTTTTTCAGAATAAGTACATGTTTTTTATTAAATAAGGCTTAGTCTGATTTTCACTTTTTTCCCCCATGTTGATTTCCCAAGTTTGATTTTTTAATCATTTTTTTAAAATATATCAGGTAGGTAATACTTGGAATGTTTGTTCGTATGTTTGACAACTATCTTAAATGCTACTCCAAATAGAAAATAAGGCCTTGGGACACCTTGATTTTATTTTTGTTTTTATAGATATAAACTCATTCTCTTCTCTTATTCTCTGATGTAGATCAAAATTCAATAAATGCCTGTGCATGTAATGAGCTCCTTTTGTGAGCAGATGACAATAGGATTATATTACAGACAAAAATTTTTTTTGTTTCATGTTGAGAAAATGAATAGTCTGTAGACAGTTTACTAAAGGAATAAAACTATATGTTTTATTGTTTTTTGTAACTTACAAACCAACTTTAATCAAATAGACCTTTTCACCATTTAGCCTGGTTTGTGGGAGAAAAGTAGATTAGAACTAACTCCTGGAATTGCAGGTATCTCATGGCTTGTTTTATCTATACAGCATCCTGTGGTAACTTTTACTGCTGGAATCTGGCTATGGTCTGTTGGGGTAAAAAGGTTGTAAACCTCTGCCTTAAAGTTTAAGAGAAAGTTTTCCTTTTGGGAGGTGATGAGGGTGTTGGAAAGAGAATGTGGTAAATATTATAAGGGAAATACATGTAATGTGCTCAAAGAGTACAGAGGAAAGAATTCAATTCTAACTGTGGAGAGGGGGCAATGGTAGTCGGTGACTTCAGCTGCATTTTAAAAAGTGGGTTAGGGCACTAGTTCTCAAATTTGAGTTTGTTTAGGATTCACCTATGATGCTTGATAAAAATGCTTATCTAGATCCTGTTATTGGAGGGTGGAGTTTTAGATTATTATTTTTATTTTTAAATATATTTTATTGATTTTTTACAGAGAGGAAGGGAGAGAGATAGAGAGTTAGAAACATCGATGAGAGAGAAACACTGATCAGCTGCCTCCCTGCACATCCCCCACTGGGGATGTGCCCGCAACCCAGGTACATGCCCTTGACCGGAATCGAACCCGGGACCCTTCAGTCCGCAGGCCGACGCTCTATCCACTGAGCCAAACCGGTTTCGGCAAGAGATTCTTATTTTTAATGAGTTTTATAGTTAAGCCTGAAACTGGTGGTCCTTAAACCACACTTTGAGAGAACTGTACTGTAGACATTAGAGACTTTGATGAAGGTATTAGAGGTTTTTGTGCTTAGTGGTAATCAGACATGTTCACTTGTTGATGTGGTCGATTATTTCAATTGAATTTTGAATGTTGAACTAGCCTCACATACCTGGAATAAATCCCACTTAGTTGTGGTGTATATATTTTTTACATGTTGTTGGATTTGATTTCCTAATATTTTGTTTAGGATTTTTTGCATTTATATTTATGAGAGATGTTGGTTTGTAGTTTTGTTTGTTTTTTTCCTTATTATGTCTTTGTCTAGTTTTGGTATTAGGGTAATGCTGACCTCATAGAATTGGTTAGGAAGTATTCCCTCTGCTTCTATCCTCTGAAAGAGAGTATAGAGAATTGGGGTATAATTTCTTCCTTAAATGTTCGGTAGAATTCACCAGTGAACCCTTTGGAATCAAATTGATTATTGATTCAATTTGTTTAATAGATAGAGACCTATTCAGATTGTTTACTTCTTGTGTCATTATTGGCAAATTGTATCTTTCAAGGAATTGGTCCATTTTACCTAGGTTATAAAATTTGTGGGCATAGAGTTGTTCTTAATGTTCCTTTATGAGCCTTTTCATGTCCATGGGCTCTCTGATGTCTCCTTTCATTTCTGATATTAGTAATTTGTGTCTTTCCTTTTTATCTTAGTTACTCTGGCTGTAGGCTTATTGGTTTTATTGATCTTTTTGAAAAACTAGGTTTTGGTTTCATTAATTTTTCTCTATAGCTGTCCTGTTTTCAGTTTCATTGAATTTTGCTCTAATTCATATTACATATTTCTTTTCTTCTGCTTACTTTGGATTTAATTTGCTCTTTTACTAATTCCCTAATGTGGAACCTTAGGTGATTGATTCTAAATGTTTTCTAATATGTGCATTCAATGTTATAAATTTCCCTCTGAGCACTGCTTTTGCTGCATCCCATAAATTTTAAAACTTTTTTTAAAAAATTGTTTTTATTGATTTGAGAGAGAGGAAGGGACAGAGAGAGAAACATCGATCTGCTGCCTCCTGCAAGCCTCCTACTGGGGACCTATTAGGTGTAGCGATTAATAATGGCAGATTTTGTAATCAAAGAAAACATGATAATTTCAAGAGAAACATCAAAAGTGCTTTATTCAAAGTAATGTCCATCGCTAGCTACACATTTCCGCCATCTTTCAGTTAATGTGTGGATACCGTTCCAATAGAACTTTTCTTGTTTTGAGGCAAACCATTCACAGACCCCAATTTTCCACTTCTTTGTACGTTTTGAAGTGCTGCTCAGAAAGTGCATGTGCCATCAGTCAGAACAAGTGGTAATCTGAAGGAGCAGGGTCTGGTGAATACGGCGGGTGGATTAATACTTCCCAGGCAAGATCTTTTAATGTGTCTTTATCTGGTTTTGAAGTGTGTGATGGTGCATTACCATAAAGCAAAATTACTTTTCCGTGTGTCTTCTGGCACATTCTGGTAGTTTCACAATCAAAGCGTGGTTCAGATTGATTATTTGTTGTCGGTAGTGATCAGTATTAACGGTTTCACCTGGCTTTAGAAGCTCATAAAACACCACAC